TGTAGCTCTCTCTCGCACTAAATCTGTTTCTATATATATATATATATATATATATATATATATATATATATAACAATGTTTTAATAATAAAGTACAAATGTCTCCACATGTAATTAAATAGTAACAAATATAATTTATGAATTGCGTGATATTCAGAGGCTTTTCTGATAGGGCTTTTCCAGAAATATGCACAAGGGACTGTTGCTTACAACATGATCTATTTTAACTACTAATTATGGAGTTAATTAAAATATAGCAGTACATCATTCACAGTACTTAAGCTTGCACGGAAAAAGACAAAAAGATAGAGCGAAAATTGTTGTAACTAGGTCGAAGTTCTGATTTGATTAAACACAGTACTTGCACTGGTGTATATCTTACATTGCTCTCTTTCTCAAAAATACACAAATAAAAACAACCAGCCAAAACCTAAATCATTTCAACATTATTTTAAATGTATAAAGCTTGGGAGAACAAACTTAATAACCTTATTATGGTTTGGCTCTAGGTGCTAAAGTGTAAGGTTTTATTTTGGAAAGGTAATGGGTTGACCTAGTTTACGGTTATGAGCTTTTATGTGTGTGAGAGGGGCTATAACATAGTTACCTACCTCTAGGAGTTATCTAGCATGTGGTTTCATGTTGAGGCCCATTTCTACTGCTGTGGAAAGCTGTATTAAAACTCACTTGTCAGTGTCAAGCAGACATTTATTGCACTGATTTAAAAGACAAAAGCTATCTTTAAAATGAGCATGGCTGGAGGGGTACCACAGGCAAACTGCAGATCAGATGAGTTTGGGGTTGCAGCCTGGGATGTCCTCTGAGAACAGTCGAGTAGTTATTTTGAAATAAGGGAATGCCCAGTATTTTGTTGTAGCACACTATGTAAACTTGATCCCAATGTCAACAAAGCACAAAATTAGTCAATAAAATGGTAAATTAATTCTAGTTTGCCTAAAGTAACTATAAACATGACCTGTAACCACATTTGTAATGCAACCCATATTAAATTATTGTTTGATAATACAGCAGAGTCCGAACTAAAGTCTAAAAATCAGGAATTTTAAAATATAAAATTTGAGAAATACTATAAATAAGTTATGCTGCTGCCATTAAAGCAAAAAGGAGGCATGCAAAATACTAAAAAGCTTATGTTGATTGCTACTCTTTTGCCTTTTCAGCAAATTATATCATATTTCAGAATGTATTAATTCTTTAATAAAACTGTAATGATTATGTATTCCGTTTTAAATTAAAAAATGGCAAAAAATAAGCAATTAACAAATTTATATGGATTCCTTAGTATTTTATGCTTCTCTATAATAATATTAATGATTTAAATATTTTAAATGTTATTTGCTGGAAATATGTATTAAATACAAACAAAATTAAAGAGTCAATTAACAATCATGAATTTCTTAGTATTTTATATGTTTATCTATAATAATAATAATAATATTAGTTAAAATAATAGTAATACTTTAAAATGATAATTTGCTGAAAATATGAATTAATTAAATCAACAAAAATAAACAGAAATACAAAAGCAATTAACAAATTAACATGAATTTCTTAGCATTTTATGTTTCTCTGTAACAACAACAGTAGTAGTAGTAATAGTAGTAGTAATAATAATAATAATAATAACTTACATGTTTAATTATTTGCTGGAAAAAAAATGTGTTGAACAGAAGCAAAAATAAATAAAAATTTAAAAGCAATTAACATGACTTTGTTATTTCATATGCTTCCCTATATCAATCATTAAAATTGTAAAAAATATGTATTAAATTAGAAAGAAAGAAAAAATTGGACCCCACTGTATGCATTAATTTGTACTAGTGGATAAGAGGAGTAGATGAGCAAACCCTGATCCAGGATCAGCCCTCTAGCAGTTATACTCGTTATAAGCAGGAAGCGGAATCCTACCTTTCCTCTTCGAGATAAAAGTGAAGATCTGAAGATCTTAGACTAGTGCGGAAATTCCCAAGATCAGATAACATGGACAAGGGGCAGGTTTTGTGTGAATGGGCCTAGAGCAGGGGTGCCCAAACATGGTCCTGGAGGGCCGGTGTCCTGCAGAGTTTAGCTCCAACTTGCCTCAACACACCTGCCTTCAAGTTTCTAGTATGCCTAGTAAGAGCTTGATTAGCTGGTTCAGATGAGTTTAATTGGGGTTGGAGCTTAACTCTTCAGGACACTGGCCCTCCAGGACCGAGTTCGGACAGCCCTGGCCTAGAGTGTTTTTCTAATTAATCTGGGCTCTCTGATGCCCTCTGGTGTTTAAAATATAGAGGTGACCTAAAATAAGGCACTGAAACTCATAAACGTAAATGTGTAGTGTAACCTTGTGGTTGAACGTATGTACTACAAGTGTAAGATTTTAGCAAAAGTCAGATATGCACATACACACAACCATGTAAACAGACTCACTGGGATGCAGAACGCCTGCGAGAGGTACTTCAGTACGCCGGCTTCCTGGCCCAGTAAGTTACTCCTGAACATTAGATTTCCCGGCAGCGACGTGTCAATCTCCTTCCTCACAACAGAAGCCACAGAATCCAAAATAAGAAGCCCAGCTCGACACGCAATTATGTCTTCCTCCAGACGCTCCAGCCTGTGCAACATCAATAAAACGCCCCACTAATATGTGTACACAAGCTTAAATACAGCCTGGCATAAAAAAAAGAGACTATCATGACCTCCTTTATAATCATTTATGCAATAATGCTATAGTCAATCCATTTAAATTCAGGATTTGTATCATTGCATTTTCATTTTACATTTACCTATTTAGCAGACTTAAACCAAAAACGTACATATATATGTGTTTAGCGGATGTTTTTTAATTGATTTTTTTATCCAAAGCAACTTCAATTGTATTCAAGGTATACACTACCAGTGACAAGTTTGGAATAATTACTATATATATAAAAAAATATATATATTCATATTATCTCATAATTGTTTAGTATTTTCAATGTTTTTTTTAATCAGAAATCATTCTAATATGCTTTGACATCACAAGACTAAATGATATATATA